CACCTTGCTCGGTTTGACACTGTTTTCAGATCTCCCCAAAGTCTGGATCTTCTTCATAGAGGTCCTTTAAGCATTCCAAGCCGGTGATTTGGGTTTGTAATTGAACTAGCAAGCAGCGTTTCCGACTTAATGCATCAGCCACTTTGTTGACAACGCCGGGTTTGTGCCTTATTGAAAAGGAAAACCGTTGTAAGAACATTAGCCATCGGGCATGCATCTGATTGATATTCTTTTGACTGTTGATATAAGAGAGAGCTTTGTTGTCGCTGCAGAGAACGAAGTCCTGGTGGAGCAAGTATTGTTCCCACTGCTTCAAGGCGCGAACGATGGCGTATAACTCCTGTTCGTATGCTGCCCACTTCTGTCGAGTTGGAGATAACTTCTCGCTAAAAAAAGCCACAGGTCTCTCGGTCTGTGAGAGGACAGCGCCCACACCAATGGCTGAGGCGTCTGTATCTACCGTGAATAGATTGTCAAAGTCCGGAAGTGCCAACACAGGTGCGGAGCTGATACAAGTTTTGATGTGTTCAAATGCCTGTTGTTGCTCGTCAGTCCATCAGAAGACTTTGGATTTGAGCCCGTCCGTGATAGGTGCCATAATAAGACTGAAGTTCTTGATAAACTTTCGATAGAAATTCGCCAAACCGTGGAAGCTTCGGACATCAGAGAAGGTTTGCGGTATTGGCCAATCTACTATGGCTGATATTTTCTGTTTATCCATCTGAATGCCACTGGCTGAGATAATGAACCCAAAGAAATAGACCTGGGATACCCCCAATTCGCACTTGGGAAGATTAAGGAACAACTTCTGCTGCTTGAGCACCTCAAAGAGTGCTGTGAGATGCTCTAAATGGGAGTGCCAGGAGGTGCTAAAGACGAGTATGTCGTCAAAGTAGACAATGCAGAACTTACCCAAAAATGGTTTCAAAATTTCATTCATCATCCTCATGAAAGTTGACGGAGCATTACATAGGCCGAAGGGCATGACCTTCCACTCAAATAACCCCTGCGGCGTCTTGAAGGCCGTTTTCCATTCGTCGCCGGGACGAATACGAATCTGGTGATAACCGCTCCTGAGGTCCAATTTCGAGAAAATGGAAGATCCGGAGAGTTGGTCTATCAACTCGTCAATTCGGGGAACGGGAAATCTGTATTTGACTGTTATTTTGTTGATAGCTCTGCTGTCTACGCACATTCGCTAAGTCCCGTCTTTCTTCGGGACGAGGAGGGCGGGTACGGCACACGGACTCATGCTAGGTTGTATCAGTTGCTTCTCAATCAAATCATCAACTAATCCTTGTAGTATCTGCTGCTCTTTCGGGTTCAACCGATAGTGCGGTAAGTTTGGGAGGCTGGATCCGGGTATGAAGTCGACACAATGCTGGATATCACGTAGCGGTGGCAGTTCCGCGGGAAGTTCCTTTGGGGTGATCTCTTCATACCGTCGCAGCAGATGAGTGATATCCTTGTGTGTACCAGCAGTTGTAATATCTGATGCTACCTCAGTGACCAGTAGAGCATATAGAGGGGAGGGTTCACGCCAGCATAGTAGCAGTTGGTGTCCTCTAACTAGGTGCATAGCGGCTTGTCTGATTGGTGCAGGATGTGCCGTTTTATCCATGGCAGAATGTGGCAGTAATCTTAAGCGCCTTCCTTTGTAATCCAGGGAATAGGTGTTGGCTCGGCAATCATAGATGGCGCTCGCATCGAACTGCCACGGTCGGCCCAGTATCAAGTGGCAGACGTCCATATCCAGGACGTCGCAGCTGACTTCGCAAACGTATTGTTTGCCAATGGAGAACACCACCTTGCAAGATTCAATGACTGCGATCTCCATTCCTTTCTTAACCCACGTGATCCGATAAGGATTCGAATTTTTGGTAGTTTTCAGCTGGAGATTCTGCACCACTGCCCTGGAGATCACATTTTCAGTGCAGCCGCTATCAATGAGAAGGTCGCACACTTTGCCGCTAATGGTACAGCGCGTCCGAAAAAGAGCATGCCGTTGGGAATTGATGTTCTGCCTTGGGTAGAGTAGTAGTTTTTCGAGAATGCACATTAACGGCTCCCCTTCGTCAGCAACCACGTCATCTGTTTCTTCTTCTTCCGCATTCTCAGGATCGTCCCTATCTGAACCTTCCGCTAAATGTGCTTGCGGCCGTTGTGGACACTCGTTGGACTTATGTCCCGGCTGAAAACAACGAAAGCATTTGAGTGTTGACGGTTTAGCATAAGGATTATCCTTACCTTGCGGCCTTGGTTTCGCGGGCAGTCTCGAATCAGCAGTCGTGTTCGCAGGAGCTGTTGTGGGCGTCGGTAGAAGAGGGGGTTGGCCGGACTTTGTGGAATGAGGCGCCATTTTACTTGACCCGCTAGCAGAATCTTGCCATTGACGGCGGACGGCATTGGATTTTGACTGCCGGCTCTGTTGCATTTCAACCTTAAAAGCCAGATTGACAGCTTGCGGTAATGACCATACCGCATTTAGCTCTAATTTTTCTTGAATGCTTTCCTTGAGGCCGCCTATGTATCTTGCCACCAGCTGAGTATTGGATTCATTTAAGTTGTTTCGGGCACTCAGCGCATTGAACTCCTCCGTGTACTCGCTCACTGAACGGTGGCCTTGTGCGCAATGTTGGTACCTCATGTATAAGATTTGTTCAAAATCTGTAGGTAGAAACTGATCTCTTAGCAGCTGTTTCATGCGGTGCCATCCGCGAACCCGGCCTCTACCTTCCCGCTGTCTGATGTGCAATGTTTGTGCCCACCAAGCACTGGCGCCTCCACACAGACGGCAGGCCACATACTTCACCTGTTTGTCGGGTTCGATCTCCATATACTCAAAGAAATTTTCAACGGCCTTTTCCCAATCCAAATAATCCTCAATATGTAGGTGACCATCAAAGAAGGGAACATCAATTTTGATCTTAAATTCTCCCGGTCGCTGGTTACGAACGAATGGTCGCCTTCGTCTCGCGACTTCCGGAGGGTAATGGTGGGTATCATCATCTTCTTCAGATTCCACGAGTTCAGCTCCAGGATACATTACCGAATCACTGTCGGAGTCCGACAGTCCGGGGTGTGGAGAAGGTACTGGACCAATTTGACGATCAGTGTTCAAGCCTCTGTGCGGCATTGTCCGGCGGGGGTGTAACTCGTGCTGTCTCGCTCTATTGAGATTGAACTCGCGGCGCACTTCTACTGTTAATCGTTGGACATCTGCAGTCAAAGCATCCAAACGTCGGTTGATGTTATCTTGGCTCGCCCACAAAGCTTCTAAGTTCCGGGTCTCCTCAGAGACGGGGTCCTTGCCGCGCACGGACATTCTCCTCTACCAGTCGTCTGCTCTGATACCAAAAACTGATGCAGCGAAGATCGTCGACTGGAGTGGAAGTGACGAAGGCCGGCGGCGATTAACCTGCAAGGAGTGTTAGCGGGGAAAAACAGGAAATAAACAGAGGAGAAGAAGAGGAATAAGGGGGAGGAACAGCTGAACGGCTGTGTATAATTTTTGATTATAAAGTTGTCTGATTACAATTGCTTTTGCTTCCTCTATGTATCTCCTCCAGGTGTACTAAAAAAGGTGTAACAAGCTAAAAGATAGTATTAGTACTATGCTGTATGAAATAGAAACTAGGTAGTGGAAATGTGCTATAAACTGTTATAAGGATAAGCTGTCCGGTAGGACAGTTTTCTATACAGGTACTGCTATAATTCTTTTTTTCTTTTTAGTATTGTAGAAGTTTCTATACTGTCGTGTTCAGAAATTATAAGATGGAGTAGTGTTTGCTTTATTCATAAATAAGCTGATATATCCCGATCAACATTCCAAATGCTTGATATCTTCAGCAAAGTTTTATGCTATATTGAATTTACTAAACAGTTATTATCTGGAACTTGGCATGCTAAGCATTATGAATTTAGAAGATTCAAAACAGTTAAACTGCTTATCTTAACAAGTTAAGACCTCGTTTGGGATGGCTTTCTTACTGCTTTTAAAACAACTTTTTAGTATAAAAATTAAATTTTTTGTACTATAAAGCTGTTTTAAGTAGCATCAAGAAAGCCGCCCCAAACTAAGCCTAAATATCCAAGCATAAAAACAACCATAGGTGGAACTTTGAATAACAACCACATTTTTTTCCCAGATCTCGGGTGTTTCAACACTCTTTCTCAAACTATTTGTTAGAGATATATAATCTGTAGTTTGCCCAGAATATTTTTGAATGCAGTATTGCAAAGCCCTTGAGTGAATATATCATAGTCACTATCTATTGGAACAAAAATGTGTAAATCTTCTGAGATTCCAATCTTTTTATAAACTGTCTATCCATTTCTGCATATTTAGTTCAGTCATGCTGTTCTACTTGTGATGTAAAATGAAGATGCGAAGGAGCTTCTTAAGAGAATTAATAGTGAATGACAACGTAATTTCAATTAATATCTTATTGAGATAGCGAGAAAATCATTAAAGAAATCGTGTTATTAACTAGCTTAGGCG